ATGATAAGTTTTGAAGAGAGACTTATCATAACATACATGGATTGAAGCGCATGTATCGTACCACCAGCCCGAAACTTTGCCTTGGATTGCATTGATTTCACTCACTGTTGCAATAATTTCATCAACAGAGTTCACTTGTCCTTCCTTCTTATATTATTTCCTATGCCTGCAATCTTTAGTATAGTGTCCCGATTTTCCACAAATATAGCACGATCCTTTGGCTTTGTTTTTGAATTTTCCTTGATCCTTTCTAGGACCAAGAAATTTCCCTTTCTTTTTGAACTTGTTGGAGTTGTCCACATTGTCCACGGCATTGGCTTTCGAAGAGCCATCATAAGAATTTTATCTCTTGCCCTTGATTCTTCCTCAATGCGAAGATGTTTCTGTATGTCTTCTAAAGAAAAATCTTCGGAATTGTGAAGAATTTTCTTCCTATATCCTCTCCAAGAACCAGGGAGTTTAGCAATAATTGCTCCCACTTGGAAAGTTTCGGGAAGTTCAATTTTTACTACTTTCAATTTGTTCACAATTATTTGTAACTCATGTACTTGAGGCAATAAAGGTATATTGTCTAAAATTTTAAAATCAAAATATTTAGATATTAAAAACTTTTTAATACCTTCTTCCTCGGCTTTGTATTTGCTGTCTAATGCATACCAGATTTCTTTAGCCGAAGTAGTGTTTGTGTAGAGATCATATAGTAGCAATAGTAGATTCTGACTCCATTGCAGTAAATGCAAAATAACGTTTGAGTTTGTTGGAAATTTAAAGCAATGAAGAGAAGAAAATTGGTAATAAAAGAATATAGATATAATTAGAGGCTTGAACACGAAAATGATAACACTATCCTCAAACGTTATTTGCCTCCTTTCCAATGCTTTTAAGAAATTTCGACAAATAGTTTGTAAGATTAAACAAGCCTTTGTGTGAAGAACACCAAAAGCAAAGTGTATCTTTCACAAAGAACAAGTGAAAATAGATATAGGATTGATTATGTGATAATTCGGGAGAATAATCTTGTGGTGGATTTCTTAATTTTCTCAAGAGTGTTTTTCTTTGCAATTGGAACACCTATTTATAGACTTTGAAGGGTTCCCACGAAATGGTGCAAAATTATGTTGAAAAGACACCAAATTCAAAAGAAAAATGGTAAAAAACGAATCCCCAACGGTCACTTTGTAAAACCATGCGGTCGCATGGTTATAGTGCAAGTGGCCCTCCCAGTTTCGGGAGGGCCTCATGCGGCCGCATGGGCTTAACCCGTGCAGCCGCATGGTTAAGCCCAAAAGAAATTTTTTTTTTTTTTTTATATAATTTTAAACAACTAAAATTCTAACATTTTCATGACTGCAAGCTTCACTGCAGGTTCGTACTCACTCAAACTAGTTACAATAGTATTCACACACTCAAATGCCAATGATTTAGCTCCTGTTCTTCTCAAATGCTCACAAATTGGCTCCACTATTCTCTTTGCCAGCCTCGGCTCTAATGGGGCCAACTTGGCAAAAATCTTTAAAATCTTAATTAGAACCCAATTATTCGTGGAATCTACTAAAATCTTATAGAACTCGGGAGCCAAGGGTAAATATGATCTGGGTTCCTTTACAGTAAGCTCACAGAACAATCCCACTGTAGCAGACAAAACACCCATATCACTGCTCTCAAGATTTTCGACAATTCGTTTAAAACAAACACGAACAGCCACCGGGTACTGCTCAAAAATTCTTAAAAAAGCCGAAATGGCTTTCTTTTTTACGAAATTCTTAGAACTGCTAAGCAATGTAAACAACACCGGAGTCAAATCACGAGACAAATCCGGTGTAGAAATAGAAGAAAGAGTTGATAGAGCAAGACTGGCATCATGAGGATTGGAGGACGAAAAGACCTTGCGCAGCTGGTGGTTCAAGAGCAGAATAACATCCGTTGTAGGACTGAATGAAAGCGAAGCCGATAGCAACGCAAGGCGCTTGTGGGAGTGCACGGCGGAGGAAGAAAGCTCGACAGCGGGGAAAGCGACCCAAGACATATCAACTCCATGTAAGGAGTGCAAATAAGTTAACTTCTGGAGGGCTGTGGCCTTTGTTTGTGAATCGGTAGATTTGATCTCAAGGCGGACCTCATCAATTGACTTGGCGATAAACGCCGCTTCGCCACCGGCTGGACTCAGGCGGATACTCTTGATTAGATCGTCTAAGGAACGCTGAAAAATGGAGTCCATCAATGAAGGACCCGCCATTCATTCACCAAAATCCAAGCTATTTCCAATAATTTTCAATCTCGAATTTACTATGTCTACATTCCGTTTAATCGCTATCGGAGAAGTGATTGATTGAAGCAGAATTTGAGCTTATATGATGGGAAATAATGGAAAAGGGAAATTAATGTGGGGTTCCGGAACTGACAGTGGGCGAGAGGAGCAGAAGTGGGAGTGGAACACTTTGCAAGTGAAACCCGTATAAAATTCAATTTCACCATCTGGAGTTACTCCAGGTAATTTTTTAGAAAATTACGTCAAGAAAATCGTATAGAAATATTTTCTCGTTAATTATTGAAAAATTAAAGTTTTTTTTTTCTTTTTCTTTTTTCTTTTTTCAGTCTACAAGACGAAAATTGAAAAGTAACTGAGGCTGGCAACGGACAGGAGTCACAGGACCCACGACGGGACGCCCCGCCTGCCAACCCGTTTGAGATGGGACGGTATAGATTTTTTTGCCATCAATAAAATAACAACTTTTTTCTTACAAAATCAAATTTGTCCTGCCTTTTCGTAGTCGGTCCATCTCCATATCTGTATTCTTCAATCACACTAACAAGTTACAACACAAATCACACACAAACACAATGTTGAGTAAATATCGATATCTCTAAATTAACATTAGCCCTACATCTCTTTACTTTGTACTTTACGAGCCCATCGATAAATCAATGACCAATGCCTTATCACGCGAGCACTTCGATGGTAGCATTACTAAAACTACACTGTCGTTGAACATTATAATTCTACACTACTTCATATTTTTCACTCATAGTGTCAATCATAGTTATCGGATCTAAATCGACATTGTTTCTATTAAATTACAGTCTCATTTGGTTCACGAACTATTTTGATTCTCTCTCGTTCGGGGTCGACTACTCCAAAGATTTCACTCAAAAGAATAAGCCCCAGCAAGATTTCTTCTCGTACTATTTAATCAATAATTGGGGACATTAGAGGTAGGGTTTGATAGATCGTTGAATGAAAATGCTTGATTGTCTTGGCAATTCTACCTGGCCAAGGCTCATTGAACTTGTAGAATCTGTTCGCACATCTATTAACTTGTATGACAGATTACAATGAGCACAAGTTTATAATAATCTATCTTACAATTACTTCTCGAGATCAATCTCTCGACAAGATGTGGCCAAAACAACAGCAAAAATAATTGCAATAGAGAAAAGTTAACTGGTACAAACAATACAATCATATCCATTCAGATCTTTTCCTTTATCCATGAACAAGAATTGTCATCTCACGGTACAATTTTCTTTTATTTCCTGTGAAACTTCTCATTGTTCAAGTACAAGGCAGAGATAAAAATCATATTCATGTCATGAATAAGCAAATAAGCTTGCAAATAAATCTGTATGTGTAATTGAGATCACCGTAGATCAATGATGTCAACCTTCAAGGTAGGATTCATATAAACATCTGTACAATGATTGTATATTGGACTACCATCGGAAGGAGGTTTGTGTGGATGAAACCCGCGTTTTGGGCATAGCCTCACGACTGTCGTGCCACCTGGAGTCAATCGGAATATACCATGTTTACTGCACAGGTGATGTTAAGTCTTTGATACATAAATAAATAACGCTGTTAAAGTTCAAGATGAGAAAAAACATAAAAAGAATATTACTTGGAAGTGTCTCTTGGGGCCATGACAATGGCGATAGATTCCGGCAACATAACCTGGGAAGAAATACACACTTGAGAAAACAAAATTTGAACGACTAAGCAAGCATCTTACCAACATAAATTACTAGTTCGAAAACTTCCATCTATACAGTGGAATGTGAGATCGGTTTGCAACCTTCTAAAAGGTAGAAACGATTTCATGAAAAGGATTTTTTTATTATTATTATTATTTTTTTTTTTCAAACAAAAATTCTTCCAAAATGACTTGTTTGGTGGACGTGATGTTGAAAATATGGAGCCTAAGTTATAGGCTTCACAAATTTCTCATGTGTCAGGCAAAAATTTCCAAATAGTGGCAGACACATATGGCAGCAAATGTTGAAGACTTTGCATGCATGGTAAGCAATTGTTGACAAAGCAATGTGGATGGAAAAGGTTTCAAACCATGCAGCTGCCACCGAAATTTTTTTTGGAAGAAATTCTTTGCCATGCAAACCAACTTTGTGGAAAATGTTGGATTTGCATTAATGAGGAAGGTGAAAAATTTCCTATAAATTGGAGGCCAAAGCAAAGGAAGAAATGTGCCAAAGTGAGAGCAAAAACAAGTGCAAAAGTGTTGAGTGAAAATACGAGAGATAGTGAGCAAGCACAAAGTGAGAAGCAGTTAGGCTTTCGTTTGTGCAGAAAATTAACGAGAGAAAAATAGAGAGATTGTCTTTGCGTAGGCAAATAAAATACAGAGAGTGTATTTGTTGTACTCCTTTTATTCTCTTGTTGATATAGTAAAAGAATTGGTGTGGGTTTGTGGACGTAGGCACAATTGCCGAACCACGTAAATTCTTGTGTCACTTGCACTTATTATTTTTGCTACATTTATTTCTTCTCAGTTTAAATTATTATGCGTCCCACTGATCCTGGCGGAATCAGTAGCGGTCTAATTTCCCAACAACTGGTATCAGAGCTCCAGAATTTAAGTGGGAGGAATGGCAACAGACGAGAAGATATCCAAAATCGATAAGTTTGATGGTACAAACTTTGGATTTTGGAAGATGCAAATGGAGGACTATTTGTACCAGAAGGACCTGTATAAACCACTTCACGAAAAGCCGGAGGACATGACCAACGACGAGTGGGAATTACTTGACCGAAAAGCTCTTGGCGCAATAAGGCTGACATTGTCAAAGTCAGTCGCTTTTAACATAAAAAATGAGAAGACGACGACATCTCTCATGGCGGCCCTATCTAGCATGTATGAACAACCATCTGCAGCAAACAAAGTCCATTTAATCAAAAAGCTATTTACTATGAAAATAGCGGAAGGCGAAAGATTTGGAGAACATCTAAATGTGTTCAATGAAGTGACGGACCAATTAAACACAGTCGAAATCACATTCAGTGATGAGGTTCAAGCTTTGTTGATACTCGGGCTGCTACCTGAGAGTTGGAATGGCACAGTTACAGCAATTAGTAGCTCTGCCAGAAAATCCAAATTGAAATTTGAAGATGTTGTGAGTATGATCCTGACCGAGGAAATACGAAGACAATCAGAAGGTGTTTCCACTTCTGGAGCTGCTTTGAACGTGGAGAGCAGAGGCAGAAGTTCAAACAGAGGTAAAGGGCATTACAGGAGCAAGTCAAGATTTGGTAGATCAAAATCCAGAAATCCAAAGAATTCCAACAAATCAAAAGTTGTTGAATGTTGGAATTGTGGCAAGACCGGACACTACAAAAATCAGTGTCAAGTTTCCAAAAATGAAAACAAGACCGAGGCCAATGTTGTAGCGGACGAATCAGATGATGCTTTGATATGCTCTTTGGAAAGCAAAGCAGAATACTGGGTGATAGATTCTGGAGCATCTTTTCATGCTACCTCAAACAGAGAACTCTTTACGAGTTATGAGCCGGGCAATCTTGGAAAAGTATATCTTGGTGATGATCAACCTTGTGACGTAGTCGGCAAAGGCGAAGTACAGATCAAGCTTAATGGATCTGTATGGAAATTGAAGGATGTCAGACACATTCCAGACTTGAGGAAGAACCTGATATCTGTGGGACAACTATCAAATGAGGGTTATGTCACAACCTTCAATGGTGATATTTGGAAGGTTTCCAGGGGTGCAATGACCATAGCACGAGGCAAGAAAAGTGGTACTCTTTACACCACGACGAGTGCTTGCGGAATAATTACAGTTGCTGATTCGAATGACGATCCGAATCTATGGCACCAGAGACTGGGGCATATGAGTCAAAAAGGACTCAAGTACATGCATGATAAAGGGAAACTACCAGGACTTCAATCTATTGATGCAGACCTATGTGAGAGTTGCATCTTCGAGAAGCAGAAGCGAGTGAGTTTCAACAAGTATGGCAGAACTTCGAAGCAAGAAAAGCTAGAGTTAGTCCACACAGATGTTTGGGGACCAGTTGCAGTTCCATCTATTGGCGGAAAGTCTTATTTTGTGACTTTCATCGATGATCACTCCAGAAAAGTATGGGTCTACTTCTTGAGACACAAATCTGAAGTGTTCGAGATGTTCAAGAAGTGGAAAGCCATGGTGGAGAATGAAACAGGTTTGCAAGTAAAGAAATTGAGATCAGATAATGGCGGAGAGTACGAACATGCTAATTTCAAAAAGTTTTGTTACCAGAGTGGTATCAAACTGGAAAGGACGTTGCCAGGAACACCGCAACAAAATGGTGTGTCCGAACGAATGAACCGGACGTTGACAGAGAGAGCCAGAAGCATGCGGTTACACGCTGGCTTGCCTAAACAATTTTGGGCTGAAGCTATCAACACAGCAGCATACTTAATCAATCGCGGGCCATCAGTGC